TTTTTGATCCACTTCAACGCACTTACTGGTAGCACCGAGTGGAGCAGCAAACGTCAATCACTGAAGGAATAGTGGGTTTCTTTCTTTTTGCTTTGCTTTGTAGGTGGGCAGCTGCGTCGTAGTTGGGCATTAACAGATCTACCGAATCTGTTTGTTCTCCTCGGCGATGATTCCTTCTTCCAAGCTGTGTTTTCGACCTTGCACTTTATTTTCTTTGCTGACCAATTCACCTCCTTTTCCCTCTTGGATGCTTCTTTCGTCTCGACATCGTTTCTCACACCCGGGTGCCAGTAGCCGATCTTTCCACGAGCAAAGCATCGCGTTGGTGTAGTCGTGGGGCTGTGATGGTAGCGCAATGAGTTTTTCTTCGCAGTTGCGTGGACCATGGTCCGGGTTCGCCTCACGTTTTTTTTTGTTGGCGTGTGGAGGCGCAGTGCCTGGGAAGGCCTCTGTTTCTCCAATGACACCCAGTGCAGAATGATCTCCGGCGGACTCTAGCTATGAGAGGTTTCTTCTGATTTTTTTCTGCCCAATGTTTTGCGTATTTATGGTCTGCGAAACCGACAACTGATCTTTCCATTTTCATTTCCGGATGTTCCCTTACGGTTGGCTTTTTCGTTTCTCACCTTCTTTCGTCCCTTTGCCGTCTTCTTTCTGTAGTTGCTCCTTTTCGCGATGTGCTGCCACTTTGCTAATTGTAGGCCTTATTTCAACCTTTTGATTTTCCCCTGCTCCGCCTTGGCAGTTAGGATTTCTTTTGCGTATTCACTATAGTCTGGGTCTAATTCTCTATCTACCTTCTGTCTTGACTTTCAGTTCATCCAGAGCAATAAGTGAAAGTAGGTTCATTCGCACTGTTTATGTCCGTTCTGGTCGGCCGCGCGCTCGGCATCTTAAACAAAGGCGCGCTCTCAGCATTGCGTTGCTGATGAAGCTTCAGATAAGCGACGCTAAACCTTTTTTCCAGCTGCTGCGGTGACACCAGCTCCTTCACTTTTTGCGTCCCAACAGAACCGCCTCTCCGTCGTGTACATGCCGTAAAATGAACCAGATTCGTTTAGGTTCCTCTGTGAACAAAGAAGTCCGATAAAGCCGACGGCTACCACCAGAGGCGCTCCTGGTTTTGGAGCCAGAGCCCCACGTCGACACCGTATCCGCCTCGCAGCTCTCGTGGACCCCGCACTGCAGGTAGTTCGTCTCGAGGAACACAAGTCGGCACCTCTTAGACGGGGTCTCGTCCACCACCAGCGACCGCTCATGCTCGCCCGACCACTTCTGATACTCCACGTCCGGCCACCAGTGCTGCCCGTGCACGCGGAGGACGCGGTCAGGTCGACACTGGCGCCATATCGGAACGTCACCCCGATAGGCTCTGCCGGAGAATCTCGCTGAAGTGTCTTCCCCGACTTTTGGCATTGTCTCATGGATCATCTCATCAACTTCGTTCGCATGAAAATGCCGCGCAACAGGTAACCGCCAACCTTCC